GGCAACATTTCATTATGTGTGTGTTATTAGTTGAAGCAGACTGTGATTGTCTATTGTTGTGACTTAGATGATGATCAGATCACATTTTATGACCAATTTGTGCAGAAATTCATATCATTAAAAAGGGTTCAAATACTTTTTCTTGCAACTGTATATAACCCCCTGAAATTTCCTGTACTGTTTGGAAGCAGGGTGTGTTCTATTTTTTAGCAAATTTACAGGCTTTGTATCAATGACTAGTGGCTTCTGGCAGAGAAACCTGTTTAGTCCGGCCATTCTAACTAGAGTGTGAATGTAAGTGAAGCTGTATGGACTAGATTTGATCTTATTTAATACAGGACAATAAAAATGTACCTCAATTTAACGGTACCAGACAGGAATGCCCCATCTCACCTCCAATATTTATCCTAATACTGGAGCCATTCATACAAGGGATAAGAGATAACCCCCTAGTTCACGGATTCACCATCAACAACTTGGAGTACAAGGTCTCAGCATTTGCTGACGATCTCTTATTCACAGTGGCTGACCCGCTTAGGTCCCTTCCCCATATTCTTAAGGAAATGGAAGAGTACAATAAAATCTTAAATTACAAGGCAAATCTAACCAAATGTGAAATCCTACCAATACAAATCTCACCTGAAATGGGAAACCAACTCAAGAAATTATTCTCCTTCGGTTGGTTGAACACCTCCATTAAAAACCTAGGGATACAGATTAGAGAAATTGTACAAACTAAATTTTCCTCCAATAATGAAGGCAATCTCCACAGACCTAACAAAATGGTTCTGTAGCATAAATATAATTAAAATGAATGTGCTCCCGCGCCTCTTCTACCCGCTCCAGACCCTACCAATCGCTATCCAAAAGTTGTTCTTCAATACCCTGCGTAAAACCATAACAGCATTCATCTGGTCTCACACACATCCTCGACTGGCCTACACTATCCTGACGATTCCTTGCAAAGAGAGAGGAGTGGTCCTACCAGATATAGACACATACCACAAGGCCACACAGTTAACCAGAATCTACGAGTGGACTAATCCATTGTCAACCCATCAATGGAGGGTGATAGAAGACTCTTTTCTAACAGCCCTCATACAATCGGCACCGTGGCATAAGTCAGCCCTTACTCTTTTTTGCCACACTCCACACCCTATGATAGGGACTACCTTAAGAATCTGGCAAATCATACAAAAAAACAACGATTTATCAAGCTATCCATCCCCATTGTACCCTATCACTCACAGCCCCCTTTTTCAACCAGGCCTGACATGCAAATTACTTGACCTAAGCCAACAAAAATTCCCAGATCCATCTTATGGAGGTAGTGCAAGACGACCAATTAGCACCACTGACAGTATTAGCTACAACGCAAAAACCTTCCAGTATGCACAACTCTCCCACTTCACCCAAGGTATGCAGCTCCTTCCAAAAGGGACAAGAAAACTTACAAACTTTGAACACCTATGCACCACTCACCCACTTAAAAAGAAAACACTGTCAACACTGTGCAAACTGGCACTCAAAGCTGAAAACAAATCCATACCCAAATATGTAGAGAAATGGTGTACTGAATTGAAACTAGGCCTTAGACCAGTGAAGACAAATATTCATAAGAACCCACAAATCCTCAGTGAACGTGACCATACAGGATGGGAATTACAAAAGAATATCCAGGTGACACTACACTCCGAATAAAATATATAAAATTTATAGGTCCACACAGCCCTCGTGCTGGAGATGCTCACAACCCATCGCTCACCCTACGCACATATGGTGAGAATGTAGACACATATAGACTTATTGGAAACAAATACTTACACTAATCAAAAGTGTTACGGGAGAATCAATACCGCTATCCCCTGGACACATACTGTTCCTCTTCCCACCCCCGGGAATACAGAAACATACTCTATCACTCACAACACACTTAATCACAGCAGTTAACCTGCTGATCCCAAACTTTGGAAACAATTACTACCCCCATCCATCAAAGAATGGATAAATAAAGTAGAGAGAATTAAGCAAATGGAGGAGATTACGTATGCACATACCGACAAATATATGACCTTCTACCTCATATGGGGACTTTGGGATAGGTCCTTGGGTAGGACTCACAAGCCCAAGAGATAACGAAATTACACTCTTCTCCCCCCAATATTCGCCCCTAAAGACAATCTTAACTTAACTGGAAAAATCACCCCAAGCGTACTGAGACGACCCACGTTTACACCTTTGATTGTTATAGTGTTATCTATTACTGTCAACCGCTATGTCAAACTGTTAACTTAAAATTGTTAAGGTATTCAACACAAAGAAATTAAGCTTGAAACTGTCAAACCATAACTTCTAGATTGGTGAATGTCACCTGTAAACTCAAGTCTTGTACTTTTTACAATGTACTTATCTGTTAAACATATACCTCATTTTGTCATTGCTGTTAAAAATCTAAATAAAAAAAATAAAAAAATGTACCTCAATTTAGGTAGTGAAGTATCATATATACTCGAGTATAAGTCGACCCTAATTTTACCACAAAAAATTGGGAAAACGTATTGACTCGAGTATAAACCTAGGGTGGGAAATGGAGCAGCTACTGGTAAATTTCTAAATAAAATTAGATCCCAATAAAATTAGATTAATTGAATATTTATTTAGTGTGTGTATATAATGAATGCAGTGTGTGTGTGTGTGTTTGTGTAGTGTGCATATATAATGAATGCAGTGTGTGTGTGTTTGTGTGTAGTATGTATATATAATGAATGCAATGTGTGTGTTTAGGTGTAGTGTGTGTATACAATGCAGAGTGTGTGTATGAATGCAGTGTGTGTGTATATATAATAAATGCAGTGTGTGTATATGATGCAGAGTGTGTGTGTGTGTGTGTGTGTATGTGTGTTTGTGTAGTGGGTGTAAACTGGTTGGGGGCAGGGCATGTTTATTATTTAAATTTTATTTTAATAGTGTTTTTTTCGTATTTTGTATTTTATTTGAATATTTTTATTATTTTAATAATTTATTATTATTATTTTTTGTCCCCCCTCCCTGCTTGTTGCCTGGCCAGGGAGGGGGCATATGTAATTCCCTGGTGGTCCAGTGGCATGGGCTGTGCGGGTAGGGGGGGGGGGAGTGGAGCAAGCTATTACTTACCTTTGTAGCAGCTCCGGTCATCTCCGTTCACCTCCCCCGTTCAGCTCCCAGTGTAAGTCTCGTGGCCTGTGTGCCGCGAGGAGCGTTGCCACAAAAAATGTGCCGAAAAACTCTGCTTATCCATCCCCATTGTACCCTATCACTCACAACCCCCTTTTTCAACCAGGCCTGACATGCAAATAGTATATACGATAAATAATACTGTTGTACAAAAACTCCTATTTTATATTTTTGGTAATATGGTTTAGTATGTATTTGTAACTGCAAATTTTTAGTTATAAGGTTATTTTCAGCTAATTTGTGAATGCCTGAAAAATTGAAAAAGAAAAACAAAAATATTTGTTTAATTAAGAATTAAAACTGTGCCACACCAAAATAAAGCATATTAACAAATATATTTTTTTGTGTATAGTATACACCCCTTCACAGCTGCTCCAGTCATATCTGTGTGGCACATTCCATGTTTTCCCATTATATAACTACAGCTGTTTTATAGTCCAGGAAGAATTAACAGCAGAAGCTGAAAATACCAGGAAATTAAAATGTAGAAAATTTAAAAAGAAGTATGTTTTTGTATGTTTCCTTATAAGCGTTACATTTTCATATAACTCTTTGTTTTTTCTGTGAGTTTATTTGTGGAAGGTAATTTAATTCTATTTTGTATACTTATATTTCAAATTTATATTAAATGTTTGTAACACACAAATGCACAGTGTAAAACTCTGTTTTGGCCAAACCATTTAATTAAAAAACAAAAAACAAAACAAAAAAAACATGTGGGGACAGCAGAATTGTGCCCATTTTGTCAACTCAAATACATTTTTTTTTCCCATGAAAAACTCAGAAAATTTAATTTGGTAGCCATTAGAGTTGAGCGGACAACTGGATGTTCAGGTTCACTGGGTTTGGCCGAACATCGGCAAAAGGTTCAAGTTCTGCCTCAAACTTAACCCGAACTTAATTGAAGTCAATGGGGACCCGAACTTTTGGGCACTAAAATGGCTCTTAAAAAGTCCTGGAAAGGGCTAGAGGGCTGCAAAAGGAATTAAAAATGGGGGTAAGAGTAGGACAAGTGCTCTGCAAACAATTGGGGTAGCCCTCAAAATATTGGGACATATAAAAAACGAAAACAAAGAATAAGTGCACTTGAGTATAACAATGGCAGGGTGAGGCCGGTGTAAATGTCTATTCTGCACAAGGTACAGACAAGTCTGGTGGGATCCATGCCTGGTTCATTTTAATAAACGTGAGCTTGTCCACGTTGGCTGTGGACAGGCGGCTGTGCTTGTCTGAGATAACGCCCCCTGCCGTGCTACACACACGTTCAGACAGTACAATGGCTGCAGGGAACGCCAGCACCTCCAAGGCATAAAGGGCAAGCTCAGGCCATGTGCCCAATTTGGAGACCCAGAAGTTGAATGGGGCAGACCCATCAGTCAGTACGCGTAGGCGTGTGCACACGTATAGTTCCACCATGTTGCTGAAATGCTGCTCCTGCTAAGACGTTCCAAATCAGCTAGTGTGGTGCTGGTTGTTATGGCATGCTGACAAAGCTTTTCCACATTTCGGCCATGCTAACCCTGCCTTCTAAGGTGCTGGCGTTGCCCCAGCTGCATTGGTGACCTCTTCCTCCTCCTCTGCCTTCGCCTTGTGTTTCCACTGAGCCCCCTGTGTCAGTTGGGAATGCCCTCAGCAGCAAGTCTACCAGCGTGAGTTTGTGGTTGTGCATCTTCTGATCACGCTCCAGTGAGGGAATTAAGCACGGGACATTGTCCTTGTAACAGGGATCCAGCAGGATGGCCACCCAGTAATCAGCACAAGTTAGAATGTCAGCAACTCGGCAGTCGTTGCGCAGGCACTTTGGTGACTCTAGATAACCTTGGGCCGATCGCACGTCCCTGTGACGGCGACAACGCTTTCTATGGTACTTTCTGCGCCTACCAAGGTGACCATGGGTAACGGTGAATCAGGGTTCGATTCCGGAAAGGGAACCTGAGAAACGGCTACCACATCCAAGGAAGGCAGCAAGCGTGCAAATTACCCACTCCCGACGCGGGGAGGTAGTGACGAAAAATAACAATACAGGACTCTTTAGAGGCCCTGTAATTGAAATGAGTACACTTTAAATCCTTTAATGAGGATCTATTGGAGGGCAAGTCTGGTGCAGAGCGACTGACCCATGAGTGCTGCAGCTGAAACTCCACTATCGCCTGCTGCTCGCACAGTCTCTCCAGCATGTGCAAGGTGGAGTTCCACCTTGTGGGCACGTCGCATATGAGGTGGTGAGCGGGAAGGATGAAGTTACGATGCAGCGCAGACAGGCGAGCAGCAGCAGGGCGAGAACGCCGAAAGCATGCACAGACAGCCCGCACTTTCTGTAGCAGCTCTGATATATCTGGGTAGTTTTTCAGGAATTTCTGCACCACCAAATTCAGCACATGCGCCAGGCAAGGGATGTGCGTCAAACCGGCTAGGCCCAGAGCTGCTACAAGATTTTGCCCATTATCGCACACCACCACGCCGGGCTTGAGGCTCAGTGGCAACAACCACTCATCGGTCTGTTGTTCCATGCCCTTCAACAGCTCCTGCGCGCTGTGGGTTTTTCCCCCCAAACATTTGAGTTTTAAAACCGCATGCTGTCGTTTCCCCCCGGCTGTGCTGAAGTTGGTGGTTAAGGTGTTACGCTGACTGAATGAGGAGGTGGTAGAGGAGGAGGAGGAGGCAACAGGAGGCAAAGAGAAATGCCCTGCAATCCTCGGTGGCGGAAGGACATGTGCCAAACTGCTATCCGCCTCAGGCCCAAACTAACAGATGGTTTATGTCAGGCGACAATGTAACCGCAAATAAGTTCACTGACAGTAAGGAAGTGCCGGTGTCCTAAAGAAAAAATATTTCTAGAGGTCACACAACAGTGTGACAGGCGTAATTAATACAGTTACTTCACTGTCTCAAAAAAGTTAGGTTTCTTAAACCAACAATATAAGAGTAGTATTTAAGGGTTTTATTGGACTGCAAGAAATGCACCGCAGGCCGCAAATGTTCTATTTAGCACAAAAAAGTATAATTTTTTTTAAACCAACAATGCAACAGTAGTAATTTTTTTTTCAATTTGACAATTTTTATTTTCTTGGTCAACAATGGGGTACAGAAGGTAAAAAGGGGGGTTGCAGTCAGCACATAGTGGACCGTAATTCTGACAATACATTTAGGTACATACATTTGTTGTTTGTTCTGTGTCTTGGGTGGTCCAGCTTAATTCACCACCTTTCTTTTTATCGTAACCACCTGCCTACCCACTCATTTTAATCTTCTACTGGTGATTCGGTTGTAGATGTCTCCCTTCCACTTAGTGGGTTGTTAACATGTTGGAGGGGGGGGGTGGGGTAGGGATACAGAATGAAGAGAAAGAAGGGGGGGTTAACATTTTCCACGCTGTACCACAGTCTGTGTTTCCTGACTGGCTTCCCATGTTGTTCGGCCTGACTAGTCCCAGCTATGTTTCTTATTTCATGTTATTGTGATCTTTATTGGCCTTGTCTGTGTGGCTTGCGTTTGATCCAAGTGCTTTACTGTGGTAGCGTTGGGTGTCAAGCGACACAACTATATACAGTGTGGGTGTCCACTCCTCTTTCCCTCTCCCAAAAGGGGTGTTGTTATGAACTCTGAGTATGGTCAAGCTGCACCTCTCCCACCCTGTGCCGGTCCAGTTACCTACTTATGTGACACACAGTGCTCCCTCTCTTCCCAGCTCCTCCTCCCCATTCACCTTTAGGAATATGTCCCACCATTCTTTGGCTGTGGTTTTATATTTCTGTGCCTTATACTCCGTATGTATTCGTGTCTCATGTTGTGCCTAATCATTAAATTCATGAAGCACCAATATCCAAAAAGCAATAATCAATTACCTAATAAGGTTTATAACGATATTGGCGGGCACACAACCCAGTTCGAGATGAGTGTCTTGGGCTATAGGAAAAAGAAACCACACAGAGACCAAGTTGCAGATAAGAATTCACACCACAATTTATTGTCCACAAAGGGGACCCAATACAGAGTAAGCTTAACTCTCATTAAGTAGTTGCATGCATTCACTTCAAAACAGCTTAGTATCTAGATATATCAGCTTAAGTATACATCACCATTAGAGGGGCTTGGTTGTGTCCTCACTGCACGTGACTGGGGGAACTCTGGCAGTCGGCATGGAGGGACCCTCTCTGGGAACAGCAGAGACCAGCAACACGCGACCGCATTGCAGGTGGGTAGTTCTCCAAGTGAGTGCCAAGTTTCTCCGTCTTTTATACCTTTTAGCAAGTTTGTAACTTTTCCAAGATTTCTTATCAGTGCAGCCCAGCATGTATCTTGTCATGCGCATTAGGCCATCAGTATGGTTGATCAGGCCAGTCGTGACCACCCAAGGCTCATGCCAGATACGTGCGGTATCTTATTCTATCTATGTCCCTCCTCTTATCTCTCCATACATTTGTTGGCACCAATTCCCTCTGTTCAGCACGTGGGCCTTTTTGGATATGGGCCAGACATGCTATGGAATATTCCAGGCAATGTTGAATTTCTTAGTGCGACACAGTTTAAGCATTTTATGCAATGTCATCATAGCTGAATTTCTTAGTGCGACACAAGCTGAATTTCTTAGTGCGACACAAGTTGAATTTCTTAGTGCGACACAGTTTAAGCCAAGTGCCATCTTAACTATCTATGATAGATTAATTTGCTCATTAGTGATCAATCAATCATTCTTAATTAGTTAATTGGATTTTATCACAATTATCACATCTCATAATCCAGATTCGTAGTGATTTGTCTGATTACTACCTCTATTCCCGGGGTTTCCGCCTGTTTCCAATCCTTTGCTATGTGTAGGTTCACTGCTATCAAAATGTGGAACATTAAAAATGCTTGGGGTTTGGTAAATTGCTCTAGTGTCATGAAAAGGAGTCCGCACTCGGGTGTGAACTTCGATGTTTGGTGTATGGTGTTAGAGATTATGTTTTCTACTCCTTCCCAGTAAGCGGTGATGAGGGGACATGTCCACCATATGTGGTACATCGTGCCCTCTCCTTTTCCGCATTTCCAACAGCTCCTAGATGTTTGAGGGTAAATAGTCACACCATGAACCACCTGTACTGAATCTTGTGCATCAGCTCCAAGTGCGATGTGCATCTGGATCTGCCCTTGTGTGCTATAAATGCTTTGTGCCATAGTTCTTTTTGCAACGGCTTACCAATGTCTCCCTGCCATGCCACCCGGAACTGATCCGGCTCCGTGTCAGTTGGCTCAATCAATAACTTGTACAGGCATGAGATAGTTTTTCTTGGTATTATTCTGGATTTGCATATGCGTTCTATGTTCCCTGCCTTCTTGGGTATAATTTCTTCTGTATCATTCTCTAGGAGTGATTTTAGATGTAGAATGTAGAATGAGGTGGTAGATTGTAACGGCTTTGGAGGACTGGAAATTGCACTAAGGTGCTGTTATGGAAAAGTAGTTTGATTAGCATGCAACCACCTCGTTCCCATGGCCTGTAATCGAAAGTGGGGTTGGCAATATGTATGCTCTGTATTTAGGTCGCTAGGCTTAGTGCAGCCCAGTTGGGGTTTGGCTGCGTCCCATGTTCTCAGCAATAGTGACTTGGCATTCCCAATGATTTGGGGTGTAGTTTGTGAGGAATCCAGAACATGTGGTGTAGCCCTTTCGGGCATGTCCATGCCGATTCTATGTCTATCCATTGTGGTCTGACCTCCCCTTTATGGGCCAGCACCGCTGTGGCCAAAAGGGTTGCTTTGAAATATGTGCTCACGTCGTGTAGTCCTAGTCCCCCTTCTGTCACCGGTCTGCTCAGTAGTTTCGTTGCTATGCGTATTTTGCGATTCGCCCATGTAACGGCACCCCCGGTAACGCACCCCATGTAACGGCATAAAAGGGTTAAACTGCCGTTTAGGAGATCTTCCCCATTCCAGAGACACAGGCACAGCTACTGCAGAACACCAATCCGCCGAACAGGAAACCATACGAATGCTGTAAACAGCCGAATAGGAAAAAAACATATGAATAGGTTTACACTCCTAGCAGTCAAACTGGAACAGCATACAATAAATCCCCCCAAGAACAAGACAAAGCTCTGTGTTGAGGGTCAAGCAGTGAACAGTCAGAGCTGTGGGTTTATTGTGCTTATGTACACATTCTTACACATTAGTACCACCCACAGGGTTTTGGAACACAACCAATAAACACATACAATACACTCAGACACTCCCACACAAAATCCTCCCCTCTGCCTGTGATACAATTACCTTACACAATGGGCATTCTCTGTAAAGTTCTCGTCATGTAGCAGGGAGTCATTTATTTTCCAGGGGCTGCGGTGTTTGTAATCGTAAAAATCCTTAAGCTCTAGCAGTACTGGTCTGACCATGTTATTTGGTTGATGTCATATGAGTGTATTTGGTTCAGATGGGAGCCCGATATGAGGAGGCCTTCTATCCTGGAATATGAGTTGTGAACCGATGAGAAGTGCGTGAACGCCCTTTTGCTAGGATGTGTAACTCTCCATGTGTCATAGAAGTGATACGTGTGTAGGAGTTTTTGTATGGCTTTACCTTGTCATTTCAAAGGGCGGTGTCTATGACAGTGTAGTGTCGAGTTTGAGGTCTAGTACATAATTAAAGTCCCCACAAAGTACTGTGATGCCCTGCTGTGTACCCGCTATTTTTGGGAGGATTTTGTGTAAGAAGTTCCGTTGGTTGGTGTTTGGTGAGTAGACATTTGCTATTGTGTATAACATGTCGTTCAGTGTGCCTGTCACAATGACATATCTGATGTTTTTGTCTGTGTCTTGTAAATGGAGGGAGAATTTAACATCTCTGCTAATAAGGATGGAAGCCCCTTTAAATTTTGTGCTAGAGGTGGAGTGAAATCAGTGTGGGAATTCGTTAAGCAGAATCTTGGGGAAGTCGTCAGTCCGGAAGTGAGTCTCTTGTAGGCAAATAATGTCAGTGCCTAAGGTCCGGAGGTCTCGGGTGAGAAGGTGTCTCTTTGCAGGGAGAATTAGTCCCCT